AATAAAAAAGGGTGGAACAAAAGTGAGCTGTGTCAAAAACAGTTGATGAGGAATGGGAGATTCAATATCACAAATGGCAGGTACCTCAAAAGACTGTCAGTGTCAACAGTCATTACGATTAATAGCTAATATAATTCAATTAGATCACATCAGGAATTAAGCTAAGAAATCAGATGCCTAAAGCTGGCCCCAGAAGCCTACACACAACTGCTAGTATCCTTCCACTGTGGCTCGGCAATGAAATACAGTCCCTGTTAACTCAAAAGATGTCATTTGTAAAGATTGTAAGATGTAAAAAAAAAAAAGACCCATCATCGCATCAAAGTAACACTTGTGTGAAAAGAGAATTGTATTCAACCAAGACTCTCAACCGTATCCTTCATATTGATTCACGGGGCTTTATATAAAATGTGATCTATGGGCAGGTGTCTTTGAAAAGCTTCCTCTATTGATCACATCTCATTACCGACACTTCTCTGTATAACCAAGGGTGGACTCTAAGGGTCAATGCAGTGCTGAAATGGAGCCAATAGCTCAATAGAATCATGATCATGGTAATTACGTAAGAGTCTGGGTTACACAAAGGTAGGGGGTGCAGTGGGCGCTTGTCAAACACTTGGCAGGGAGACTAAATGGGCTAATGGGAAATATGAAAGATAAATGAAAAAGCTGCCTTATATGGGGATCATTTAAGGAAAATAATCCCTAACTAAAAATGTTGAACTGATATCACCTCACAACTATCTCAATAAAGCTAATGGCTAATATTAAGCACTGTCCCACAACAGCTTCATGCTTTAAGAGTTGAATCTTCATGTTTTTTTTCAGGAAGCTTTTATGCAAAGATCACTAAATTCTGCAAGTATGCAAAACACTTTCAGTCTTTCGATACTGACCCTCGACAAGGAGGAATTCTCTTTTGGTTTGTTTGGTTTATCTGTTTGTCGGCAGCATTAGTGAAAACTTAGAGGCCCATTTTTAATGAAACATGATGAAAGGATGTAGTCAGGGCCAAGGAAGAACCCATTACATTTTGGAGTGTATCCGAATCAGAGGCCGGCCACACGCATTATTTGTCACTTATGTAAATGTCCTTGGCCGAGTACTGCACTCTCTGAGAGCCCTTCTAGCTTCAATGTGTTCTCATTTAAAGTCAGTTGTATCAATTAATGTTTCTCAATTTAATTAAGTTTAAAGGTATTAAAATGTCAACTGCAGTTTCAAGCTAATTACTAAAGTTGAACTTTGACACTTGACAAAATGTATTATCATAATATGTCATCATCTACAAATCCACGTTCTCAGTTGGCTGGCGACTGCTCATCCGTGTGAATATACTGTATCAAGACAAATGTTGCTGTTAACAATTAAAACTGAATATTGAATGAACTATTAAAGTAGTGCTGGAGGTCATTGTCAGGGCAAATTTAAAAAACAGGTTCAAGACAGCCTGAGAACTTGTCTAAATACCACTACGAACTATAATATGTGTACTCCATTTATGCATTTGGATAGAAACTGACATTTTGCTTTAAACAAAGAATATAAGAGTGGAAAAGAGAGACCTGTTGAGCTGCCATACTTCATTGTGTTTGGGCAAGCAATTGGGCAGCTGGAAAAGGGAGATACAGAGCAGGTCTGAATTAAATGAGAGGTTAAATGAGCCCAAACCTGTTTGTCTTCTGATAGTACCTCTATTGCTGCTCCTGCAATGTGTCTTTGTGTCACTCTGCAGAACTTGACCATTATGTTTAGTTTCATCCCAGGGACTTTGTTGTTACCTGGGTCTCTTGATGTCCCTCTTTCTCCTGTTCTTATCCCCTCTCTCATGTGATGCCTCTGTCTCTCCACCAACCCTCCTTTACTTCAGTTTTTAAAGTTAAAAGTCAGTCTTTTCCCTGGTGATTGTTGTCAGACGTGGGTGTCTTGAAGTGTTCAAAAATGAAATCATTTAGATGTCATGACATCAGTCACATTTAAAATATGAATCTGCAGAGTTCCTTAGGGATACACTCAGATAGACTTTGTACCCAATTATTCTTAAACTGACTCTGTACATTCATGATTTCTCCATGTGTCAACGTATGCGTCTCTTTAACTAAACCCAAGGTCATAAAAAATCTAATTATGGCTTTTTTATTTCACTCACTTTTTAGTGTTCTCCTATTATCTCCTGCAGCTATGGTTCAGAAGCCTAAGGCCAGCTTTTAATATTAATTGAGGGTAATTTTTCCTCCCTGCTGTTCTTTAATATCATCCGAGCTAAAAAACGTAAGCCCAATGTTCTGAATTCGTAATGATCAAAGTCTTTCCAAGGAGAAAGAGGTGGCAGGGACACAATGAGAGGAATTGAGTGGCTCAAAGATAGAAGGAGTTACTAATCTGTAATTCTTCCGGCTTTAATGGCTGGACATTGGTACTATGGCTGGGTATAGTGATTATTAATTGACGATTACATTGGCTAATGGTGGACTCAACACCTGAATGTGAGCCTGAAAACAATGTGAAACCAATTTAATCCGTATATTCATCTGTTCCATTAGAAGCCTAGGCAGTATTAAAGGATTCTCTCTGGATCTCAGACTATCTGCATTCAATTATGGTCTGACTGCCTTATTTCCCATTTGTATCAGAGTACTGGTAAAATGAGGCTATGGGACTGGGCTCCCTTAAGCCATATGGAGCAGGAGACATTTGTTCCTGTCTATCTTCCACAGCCAGGGAGCAGCTAGCGAGGCACACCGCCGATGCTGGGGGTAAACAAGCAGAAGCTGCCGACAGTGTTAATCACAGCTTTCCTGCTTCCATGCTCTGGCGTTAGGAACCATGGTTAGGAAGCAGAGACTGGTGGGAGCGTTCATCGTCCTTTTTCTATTGCACTGAGGATTCTTTCCACACCATTAGCGCTCTCTGCTGAGCTGTGCTATCCGGGTCCACTACTGTACCATTACTGTAGAACCCTGCGAAGAACCATCTGCCATAAGCACAACTAACTACGGTAAATGTGGTCACATCAGCACATTAGAGCAGCACCGCCATGTGGGACGGGTTGCAGCCCTCTGCTGTACTACATGGTTTTATGGGATATGAGGTGGGAAAAACATGACATATCCCACCTCAGAGGACCACTGAAGGACACAGAGTGTAAGAATGAGACAGAGGGTCACATTTCATAATAATTGTATGGCTGTTTTTCAGACATTTTCTTTCCACAGACAAGCATGCCATACTGTATATCAAACTGGTGCAATGGTCTGGAAGAGCGAATGTTTGTCATGTGAAGCACACCTGTAATGTAACCCTCTTTATTTAAGCATGTGCATTTATTGGAGGGTCAGTTTTGTGCAGAAATGTGTGTAGTTCATGTCATGGAAGGCCATGGGAGGGATAACTTCCTCTATAAGTGACAGGAAATACAAGATGAACACATCACTAAATATAGTGCAGGGGCTCTGCATTTATTTAGTTCAAAAGCAGGAGTATCTCTTCATAAAAGGCACCAAAGAAGAGATTATCAGTGACTGGACTGGACTGGACTCTTTATGAGACATCTACAAATGTGTAGTAGTTTGCAATTAGCACAGGATTCTCTAGAGACTGCAACCTTATCAGCGCAGTGCCATCATCACTTGCCACCTGCTCTGGCATGAGCATCTGCTGGAGAGTTTCTGGATTAGCTCCCGCTCCCACAGCAGGCTGCCACTAGTTGCGATGTAGGACATTTAAATGTGTAAAAGTGTTTTTTCTCGTCAGTCTTTTTTTTTAGGAAAGGAGAAAGGGCTTCCTGCCTTTCTCTCACTTTTTGCTAGCATTTATTTCATTGTATTTCAGATTTGGAGTTGGTGTTGCCTTCTGTCCACACACATTTTTTTTTAATAGTTCCTTTCTATTGGCTTTTTAAGTCTTTAAGAGCAATACATTGCAGATATGTTAATGCAAAAGGTAATGTCATTATTACAGTTACTACTCACCGCAGACAGACACATTTGGAAGGTAAAGAAAGTCAAATATCAAGCAAATTACTCAAGTATATCTATGAAAATCAGTCTGGGCTAGAATGGCCCGCAAGCTACTCTGAACATGAGATGGCTGAGCTAAACGTTAGCAGTCCAAACAGCACAAACTGACTTCACAATATTCACAAGTCGATTCATAAATCATGTTCTGAATTGCATACCGTACTATAAAAGAGAAAGAACTGTACTTATCTCTGCAACAAGTCGACATTTGTAAATGTTCTTGTGTCATCAAAATACACATTTATTTAACATTAATTGTGTTAGTGTTTACCTACATAATAAGTCTATCTGCAGGAAGTGTCTCAATAAATGTGAACAGGTGTTGTTGCAGTTATTAGACAGACACTATCAGGACAAGGTAAACCCATTGTGCTTCAGACAGCTTAGTGTTTGTTTTTACTGCTGTGATGAATCCATGTACTGTACAACAAATATTAAGGTCACACAGGTTCAAGGTAATAACTGGATGCCAATAGATGAGAAAAACAAACACTTCCAGGAAAAGTGACCAATGTTTTAACTTCTTACTCATAAAGCAAGTGTTATAGCAGTGACCCAGGGTTCAGGAAAAACTTTCAAGTCGTTATGGGGCATCGCTCAGCCTTTCAGAGACTGCACTAGCACGCTAAGGCCAGTGTGCAAGGCCTTGTAGCAAACATATAAAAGGGAGTGTCAACATACTAAGATGTACACTGTAGGGCAGTTCATTCTTGGAGGGAACAAAATGATCTGGACTGATGAAACCTTCTTAGATTGAACTGATGAAAAAGAAAATCATTCTATACAATTCAAACCCATGTATGTCCAGCCCTGTCATTTCCCAAAATGACCCTTCAGGAATGATTTCTTAACTGAGGTCATATCATATAGATGTTTGTATAAACTTCATCAATGCTGACCTTGTATTATAAGCATGCTCAGTGACCCTTGTCTTGGCAGGCCTCAGCTGGAGGGTATTTACTGTTGATAAGTCTGACTCACCACTTTGAAGTTGTCGGCGCTGCACTCGCCGCCTCGGTAGGTGCAGGAGAGCAGCATCTCCTTGATGTCGTGGCCCGTCCGGTCGTAGAATTCACGCATATTGAAGGGGCGGGGCTTATAGTTGTCAAAGTTGGCCCTCTCCTTCAGGATCTGCAGGACATGTTCCTCCACCATGTGTGGGTCCCGGATCTCATACCTGGAAAATAAAGTTTTGTATTTAGTTCTTGTGGACTTCAGTAAGCAAGATGAATACACACACATGATCAAATTAACCACAATTGAGTTAGTTGATTTTGGAATAAAACCAACAAGCTTACAATGACAATGTTGTATAACTTGCTGGATTAGTCATACGGTATTTTTTCAAATGACTTTACTCAAAATGAATAGTTACACATTAACTGCAACAACAGAGTCGACAACATGACATTAATTTAATTTTCAAAGACACGTTTTTTTCCGACTTCAAAGAATTCCCATTGAGAAAAGAGTAACACACAGTTTAAGCTGTACTTCAATTCCGTTTAAAAAATACATTTTAAGCTTTTGGCAGGCAGACAATCATTTTCTGCAGAACTTTATATTATATAAACAATGTTAAAATGAATAAAGAAGAAGGAAAACAAGCATGCCCTATAATTGAACAATGGGTGTGATGTGCCTGAAACTGGCATCCTAGCTGTGGCATGCCAACAAACATGGGTGGACCTGAGTGGGGGATAATTGCTTATTATATAAAGGACCGGAGATGGTGGTGGTTTTCACGTAATACGCGTAAGTGTTCATAATGCTGCAATTTACATCCAGAACACTGGTAAAACAGAGACTATACTATATACAAGTTCTACACTACAGATATGTTTTAAGGGCAAAACGTAATCAGGTGTACAAGGGAAGCATACACACTCACTCTTTTTCTGTCTCTCTTTACTCCACACAAACACATCAAAAACATGACAAAGTATAATTGATTTGCGCATGTCAACAAAGATCAAACTGAGCTACTGAAGCCATATGAAACACACTGGAAAATGCATTTATGACATGCTTCTATTAGACAACCACCATCAACCTCCAGCACCTGCTCGCAGTTATTCAGAGATATAAATTAACCTCAATTAACAGGTGTGGCCCTGCTTGGAGGAAAGGCTGATGACCCCTGCTGAGCGATGGCCCATCAGTGGTACAAGCATACCAAATGATGGAGTGCCAAGTTTAAGCACTACTGACAGATACTTATGAGAATAATTAGTTGGGACACACACAGCCCATCAGAGTGAACACTGTAAATTAGTTCATAGTGTTTCTTGAATTAACTGAGCAACAAATATTAAGGTTAGGAGATTTGATATGAAGTTGTGTGTAATGTGAGAAAGCAGCAGCCATCTTAAAATAAGGTTCGTGTTTTTGTAATAATGTTGGACAACTCAATTTCCATTTGCAAACATGAATAAGCAGAAGCTAGAGAGAGCAGAGTTGTAAACCATGAGAGACAGAGAGAGACGTACCCTTCTCCCCGGTGATAAATCTGTGAGTGACTTTGTAGTGGCTGACAGCGGAGGTGTTTCTCATGGACATGGGCACTATTTCAAACCATAATTGGTGGTATATTTTAATGGATTCTTTTTTATTCTCACAAGGTCAAACTTAGGAGGTACTTATGAACAAGAGTTTGTTCCCTTGATGAGGAGAATAATAAGTTGATCCATGAATAAAAAATGAAATATTGCAATATTTATTTTGTGAGCACTGCCTTAATATTCAACTGGCGATGTATTTGTTAACTTGCCTCCCAACAACAATTGCAAGAAGTTTAATATGTTCCATGCAGCCACAATGTTGTTTACTAACTACAAACAGAATGAAATAAAAATACTCACCATGTGAGAAATGTAAAATGAGCGCTTTCTCTACTCAAAACACTGAAGAGAGATACGAATCTGTGATGCTTGAGGTTCAAACTTGCTGTGACAGAATATTGGCACTATAGCTCTGAACAAAAGTTAAAATGCTTGCAAAATATGACAGATTTTTCATAGTTAGGATCACAATAATTATTAATATTCCAAAGCTGCAAAGGACAAAAAAGCTTTACTCAAAGATGAAATAGATCATTTAAATGGATAATACTACATGTATTTATTATTGCTGCCCTTCAAAAAAATGGAGCTGCTGTTGAAGTTATATGAATGTAGGGTTAATACTAAACTGCAGTTGTGTTTGAATGTGTGATCAGATTAGGCACTGTAAATGAGTGGTTGGATTTAGAAAATGATTCAATTGTTACTTAAAAAGTCAATTTTCCTGAGAGATGTGTGGGTTTTAGGTGGTTTGACAGCTACTTTAAATGGAGCTCATTTAGATCTTTCATTAACAAATAAAACAGACTCAACTTTTTACAAATGACTTACATCCATCAGGAATACACAATGCTGTAATCATTGTATAATTCTAATCTAAATACTGACTCTACCTGGGTTTTGAGCTCACCTGGCTGTTAGATGTGTAAGAGAGAAACTGCATGTTGATGTTGTTGTACAGGTAAAATAGTGGAGCAGAAACATTCATGTCAAGTTTGTTATAATGTATGGATTGTGCAATGTTAGGATTGTCCACAATGATGTTGTTGTAAGTGAATGTTATAATGTTTGAATCAGCTAAGTACATGAAAGGATATAATATGGATTGTAGCGAGTTAAACAAATACTTAATGGGCCCATGTCATGCTTTTCTGGTTATTACCCGTCCCCTTGTGTGTTAAGTAGCTTTTTATGCATGTAAACGGTCTGCAGAGTCACAAACCCTCAAAGAACACCCTGTAGCGAGTAAAACTCTAACACAGAAAATACCTGTCTATGCTGCCCCAGAACGCCTCGTTGGGGATTTCTCATTTTCCATTGTTTTCTTCCTGGGTTCAGTGACGTGTGAACACCCAAATCAACAACAAATGACCAGATTGGCCCAAATGGACCAATCCGCGGAGCCCCTCACACACCAGGATCCCTTGGCTAACTAAGGGAGTCCCCATTGACTTGCATAGAGCTCCCTGAACACTGGTATTAGACGAGTTGGGATCGCGGAGAAATGCTCTCCGCAGACCCATGCTCACAGCGTTAAAAACCTTTTTCTTACTCAATATCAAGCTACACTTATTGTTTTTACTTCGGCTGTGAATATTTGTGTGTAGGGAGGCGTGTGGCGCAGTGGATAGAGCCTTGGTGTTGGGATCAGGGGGTCACAGGTTCAAACCCCACTGCAGTCCGCATGTAGTTGTGTCCCTGGGCAAGACACTTCACCCCAAATTGCTCCTGTGGGGATTGCCCACAGTATTGAGTATGTAAGTTGCTTTGGATAAAAGCGTCTAACAAGTAACATGTAATGCTCAGGATGAGTTTCGCGCTGTCTCGCTGTATCGCCTTGTAAGCCAGCTCACTGAGCCTCGCAACGTCCCGACCAATCAGAGCACACTGGGCTCACAGGGAGGGGGGCAGGAGCTCCAACAAGAGATGCAGAGATGCTGAATGAGAAACCAATGTGAGTTTGGAAAATTACAATTTAAATCTATTCTAGTAGACCTCAACAATGGAAATATGATCAGTAGAAATGGCTATGCTATGGGCTATGGGCCCTTTAATGAAAATACATTCTATACCTATTATTCCTCACCACCGCGCTACATTGAGTTCCTGAAGCACACTTTATTTTCCTTGCAAAATGTAAAACTTTCCATTCCCATTCCTAAAAAGTCCCAGTAAATATTACTTATATACAGAGTAAGGTCAAATGAATTGGATGAATACATCTTGGATTACAATCACAAGTTAAGTGTGTAACCAAATGTTTTGATAACGTTTTGCTGTTGTTGAACATGGCCCATATATTCTTCTATTTATCGAGACTCTTCTGTCTATTATACTTATCTTATTAACCATGCAGGTATGCAAGAAAAACAAAGTTTACTTAAGGAAATCAAGGTAACACACGGTGAGTAATTGATATACAAATAGTCACTTTGTAAGTCAATTAGTCCTTTAAGCGCAACTATACTTCTAGTGACAAGAATAGTAGATTAAAAATAATCTGGGGTCCTGGAAATGGCAGGTGAAATCACACGGAGCATTTAATGAGTGAACATGTGCATTTTGGATAAAAAGCACAGTCGGTGCTCTGTCACTGGGACTACATCACTACATTGTCATGCTTTGTTCTAATAAGAAAACACAGGCTGTTGTGGTTTATTCTCAATTTAATTAAATTGCATCCTGAGCCTCTGTCTTATAAGCAACACAAAGCTGCCAGGAGAGCACTTAAAATGCTGTGCTCAGATTCCAGAGTCAGGAGGCTTTAGTTGAAGCGCACACAATCACAATAATATGGGTAGATTTGTAATATTGCCCTGCCACTGCTCCCTAAAGCAATCACAGCAAACTCACAACGGGGTGGGGGTGACTAAATTGGATTATTGGCCACAAGAACTTTAATTTTCTTGTGGGGAGTAAAACGAATTTAGGATTGTCTGCATCACTTTGCCACCTCACTGAGAGAAGTAAATACTAGCAACATCTGAGTGAACTTTGACGGGGGGACTGTGTTTAAAAACTGTCCTCACTCAGGACTTCAAACCCTCAGTCAATAGAAAACTACACAAAGAAGTCTTCATATATGTCATTGATACTGTCATCGTACCCAGTTTGCCACAGGCGGTGTGAAACAACAATGAACACATCTTGATGTTATCTCAGGTAATTATCCACTTAGTGCTAATTGAACCCAGACACTACAGAGCAGCGGAATTGTTTGTCCTTGAACATGAATAAATGCAATGATTCCTGGAAGCAGAGATTTCATAATCACATCTTAATGACAGTGTACCTGGGTCACAGCTGTTTTGCCAATTTGGACAGGATCATAGAAATGCAAACTAGGGCCACCGAGGTGAAGCGAACCTAAACAAATCGGTTTAATCTTTAAAGTGGGGTAGGTAAGTTTGAGAAACCGGCTCGAGATACACTTTTTGTTATATTCCATGGAATGCTCTTAACATCCCGATAGCAATGAATATCTGAAGTGCTTTGACAAAAAATGCATTAAAAAATTAATCTCTGGAAGCCGTAGTACTGTAAAAAGCACGACCAATCATCTGAGCCGGCCCGGCTAAAATAACTGGATGGCCTACCTGCCTGTCAGCCTTCCATCTGTGCACAAACTTATCTCGTGCCCTCATTGGTCATGAGCGCGTTCGTGTGTGTTGGAGGAGGGGCTCTGTAAGGAAGTGGCAGATTTCTTCCGGCTGTGTATTTTCAAATTCTAGCGCACTCGAGCTGGTTTCTCCAAAAGTAGCCTACCTACCCCACCTTTAAGCAATCACAAAAACAAACCAAAGAGGTGAAATATATTAAACATCCAGTGCGCCTTGCAATGACCCAACACTCAACTGCTTACTTTTGTTTCCACAATGATAATCTTCCCCCTTTCAGAAAATCACAATATAAATGCTAATGAACCAACATTTGAAAAATCAGCTTTAGAAGCAGTTCTGTGGTTTTGTGTTTTCATTACGATAAGCTTGCCTCCCAAGCACTTTGTTTTTGCAGTAAATCCTGATTAGGGCCTGTGATCTTGCTGAGACGGATACTGCGGTCAAAGTTATCGAGCGTTACATTTTGCGGCACTTAACACACCACTCATGTGAATTTAGATCATGTTTGCAAGCTCAGGAAACATATGAACTACAGAACTGTGTAGGCAGAAGACTCGCTTCTATGACTTTCAAAAGCTGATCCAACACTTTTTGGCACCTACATGCATAACCAACACCTTTTTCAAATAGTTAATTATCATATAATTGCCCTTGCAACATAATACAAATAAAATAGTGCAATTTACCTGTGATGTTTTGCACTGCCGAGTGTGACCTCAGCTTGCAAGAATACTATAGGATAAAGTGTTTTTTAAGTCCTTATACAGTTATTTTTCTATCTCTGTGAGACTTTCCCCATCTGAAAAAAACATTTTCCTCTTAAAAATGTTACAACATATGCTTAGAATATTATTGAATTGTTGTTTTGAAAGTGTTTTTCTTGTGTGCAAGTGGACAAGTCATTATACTTGTACTCCTTTACGGAGTTAATGCAGTTGTATAAACCAAAATCCACCATACACATACTCATACACATACAGACACACAATTGTCTGGTATAATAACTGTGATATTTGTTGAGGTGATTATATCTTGATCCAATAGTATGCCATCACTATTATCATGTTCATGCTGGTTCATTTATGTCTATGAATATTGTGTTCTTCCCAACACTGTGAATAAGTCTGTTTTTTGCCTCTTCTTGTACTTAATATTATTGTTTTTAATGTTTTTGTATAATTAAACTAATACATGAGATTACCTTGTCATTTATATTCAGAAAAACATCACATAAAGGATTAATCTCTGAGAGGGCAAAAAGTAAGGGGACGTCTCCCTCAATGCCAACTTGAACAGCGGGGGCAAGAGACAGTGCGAGATATGCGAGTTGTAATCAGAGGGAAAACTCTGTAGCTTAACAAACAGCACTAATTACACAGGGATAAAGACTTGTTCATCACACAGCTTACGAGACACAAGTTAATTGCCTCTGCTTGCAGTTCCCCCTCTCCATCTAAAGTCAGCTTATTCCAATGTCACTTGTGTCAATGCTTTAAATGTCTGTTTCCTCTGGTGTTTATTCTGTGTTTTTGGCCTCATTTCTTCGTGTGAATCTTACAGGAAATCAGTTTGCACCTGCACTGACAAATAATAGAAATGAAAGCCTCTGTTGATATTTGAATAGTCTGCTTTTACAGCTGACGGAACACACGGAGTAACAAATCCATGTAGGATGTAGGCACACTAGTTGAAATCCATACCACACAAAGCACTGGGTCTGCAGCCCTGAGCAATGGAAGCTTTTCTTTCCTGTAAGGTTATCACCAGTAATATCAATGCATATATAGAGAGAGAGGTCACAGAGCAACGATATTCAGTATGAAAACATGGACATTGGATTTATGTCATCCTAGCATGTACCACGGAGGTACTCTCCAGCAGTGCCTTTGGCAGCAGAGCTGTGTGAATCAATAAACAAAAAATACACTGAATAATGTGTTCAAGATGGTATTTAGACGTGTTTGTATGTAGTAGATCTTTTTTTCTTTTAGCAGTAACCTATGGCTATGCTTGTGTCAATTTCAGTGCCCAAGCTGTGAATAGTGTCAAGGATGGTTACGTGTACTTTACTGTTTAACGTGATCCGAATAAGCATGGAGAAATAGAAATGAAAAAGTGAGGACATTTAAAGTCAAAATATTCAACAGTCAACGGTGGGCTTGTCATGGCAGTCGAAAGACTCAAATGATCAAAGCAGAGCAGAAGGCAACACGTGTAGAGGGAGGGGATGCGGTTGTGAATCACACACATAAGTCTCTCAACATTTTGTCAGCAGGGGATTTAAAAATATACTTGTCTACTTATCCAATATTGAGATATTCCTATCACATGAACTGTAAAATGATGAGGCAAGGAATTGCACCAGCGGCATTTTCTCCTTCATCATTTTCTATTAACCACTTAGAAACAGCTCATCCACAATCTGTTACCTGGGGGAATCACATGATTCACATCTGTGATAAAATGTGTTCCTTATCCTCTTTTTTTAATCGAATACTGTATTAACATATCCCAGCAGATTGATGTGAGGGGTACATTTCATGTTGTGGCATGAGGTTTCACAAATACAGCAGCCTTTATGCAGTCTGGAGTTCAGCTGACATGAACTGTAATGTCACTACATTATTAAATAATCAACTATAATGCTTGCTTTTTAGAAAACACATTTCATCAATTTCTTGACAAATGTTGTCAAGCTGAGGTCAGTCCAAGTTCATATTCACTGAGAGCCTTGAAAGGATTTTCATGCTTTGTCAATGTTTTAGTTGTTTGTACATCTCCTGATGGCCTAACAGAGACAACCAGTGAGACCGGTGTAAGAACACGGCTTTGCACTTCCATGAGACACGTACGATTTCATGTGAGACAAAACAGATAAGAAAGTAAATCTGTTGCATTTCCACAAGGCTATTGAAAACTGAAGGACATTTCAGCAGAGTTCAACTGATTTAAACAAGTTTTACAAAATATCTAATGAGTGTGTGGGTTAAGAAATGTTGTGATTTAACGGTTCTCAATTATTTTTACAAGAATGGATACATTTTCCTGACAACTGCAGTAGAATTGCCCAACTTAAAAGGCACCTTTCCAGCCAACTGTTTGTATCTTGTGACTTTTATCTCACGCTGTGCTGCTAACACAATCAAATCCTGAATCAACAACTACTAAATCCTCCCATAGTCCCTCAGGCAAAACCATATCATCCAAGCTGTTTGTTTGTGAGTCTGTGCACTGTTGAAACCTATGTTATAAGAAACTGACTTTTATAGGCGAGGAGGAATCCTGAATGGTATGAATTTAAAGATGAGGAACCAGTGTTGCCTCTAGACACCATATACCAACAGGTAGAGCTGCTACAGGCAGCCCTTAACACACATGTTTTACTATATGGGAACCAGACACACACACACACCTGCCGTTGAGCAAGGCAAGGAGCTCCCCAGCATGGTACAGGTCGTTGCGCGTCACCCTGCTGAAGCGGAAGGAGTTGAGGTTGCAGAAGGTGACAGAGGGGAACACCATCATCGGAGCCGAAACCTCGTCCAGCTTGGTGACGTGAGGGTACTGGAAGTACAACTGCACCCGGTCCACGCACACCATCACCAGCACACCCACGGAGCTCAGGAAAAACAAAATCCACAGTGTGCGCTTGATACACATCCGCTCATAAGTGAACATGTGCGAGATGCCATGCAGCGTGGACCTGCTGGCGAAAACTTCGATGGGAGCCGGCCGCTTGTAGTCCATGTCCTCAGAGTCCTCTTTGATATCCATAGTGCCCCGGGATGAGTTGGGATGAATGAAGGGTATAGGATTGCACACGGAGGAAACTGGCTTTATAGATAAGCAGATGCTTTATAAACGGGAAAGGAGGTTAGTGTCTGTAAGTTCACGCCCTTCTACGCATGTATTTCTCATGCAGTCTGTTTGAGATGTTGCGTCACTGACAGCCGGCAAAACAGCCGAGCATTTTACCCAAGATACCGTCAAAATACTCCGTTCTTACGTGGTGAAAATCCTTAGAGAAAGTGTAGATGTAGAAAAACGTGTGTAGTAGGTACCTCGACTGGGGTCACAGTTCCATAATAAATAGCCCGGTGTGGAGCGCGCATGGATAGATGCCAATGCTGTCCTCTCTCCTCGCACACTTCTGTGATATTACCGAGTTGGTATTTGATTTCCACGCTCAAAACTCAAAAAACCCACTGGGCAGGTCTGTAGCAAAATAAAAAACTGTTTAGGAGGAAGAAAACAAACGGTGGAATCACCCTAGCGAGGAGAATGTGAATAAGAAAATCAAAGCGGCGGTGTATTTTCTCCCTCTGTGTGCACGGCACTGGCTACATGGCTTTCCCAGCTCTTCATATGCAATCCCAACACGTGCAGAATAACAAATAGCCGCTGATTTCTCGCCCGTTAGCGTTTTAAGAGCAGTCGTCAGGGTGTCCGGTTTTTTTTCACATCCAGCATAAACAGCTGCATCACATAGGAGCAGGGTCCGTCAGAAAGCCGCCTCTGCTCCTCGCATCCATCCCCTCCTCCGAGCTGCCTCCACAACAATGCAGGGATAATTAGCCTACTCCGGTTTCTTCGGATTCCAGCTGGTTTATCCTTGAATAAAAGTGTTCTGAGGGGGGAAATGTGTATCTGGGATAAACAAATAATTACCGCCCGAAACGCTCAGTGTTGTGAATTGAACGGAAAGCACCAGAGGTGGTCGCGGTTTACCCGGATAAATTCGCTCTGAAGGAGAGAGCACGGATAGGATGGCATGTGGTTTTACACCGGGTGACGAAGTCGGTGTCACTTCAGCAATGCTTGTGTTTAACCAAGAAGTGGATTGTAGACTGTTACCGAGACTACAATTTCAGTCAAGACAGCATGACTCAAAAATGTGTCATTCCCTTTAATGCAAGTTTCCCCATACTCTCCTTGCTGAAAGCTAACATTAGCTTATTGAAAACGAGCTAGCATCAAGTTTTACTTTCTGTGGAAAGTTATAATTTTCATTCTGTAAAGCAAATGTTTAGCAACAACTTATAGTATCATTTACAGAAGATTAAAAGTGAGATAATTTACCTGTTCTCTTTATTGAACTCGGCCTACTGTTGTTAGCTCACTTAGCTAATGAAGGCAAATCAAATTCAAACAGCATTCATGTAACATAAGCTAATGTATGGTGGCCCTTAAAGAGCCTGTGACACGAGTTTCCCCCATCATCCAAACCCATCAATTTGAGTAAATATTGTCCCCTTGAAAACCGTTACTGAACTGATTATGGATATTTGTACTTTGATAACCAAAACAACGGCTAATTTCAAGAGGACAATTATGTATTGTTTAATTAAAAATAACACATTTCCCAAATAAACTTGGCAATTTTCCCAGGGTCCTTTGTTTCCCAGTTCAATATCCCCCACCATGAATCTGTTCATGTGCAATGTTCAAGTGGAAAAGTTTGAAAGGAAGTATGAATAAATGTAGTAACTCATGGTGTTACTCATTTGCATAATGCACAGCCAAGTAGGCCTACTCAATAAAGTTTTACAAAAAGGCACTTTGGCACTTCTGACTTGCTCACTGAAGGTGAAAATAAAAGACAAAAAGAAACAAAAGATAAGTAACACAAGTTTGTTTTAGGTACGAATCAGAATCACAAGATGTGTGTTATCAGTTCATTCATGTTTGTGAATATATAGCCCAGGGTTTCCCTCACATAGACTATACTTGGGCGGGCCGCCCAGGTATATTAACGGCCGCCCAAGTATATTTCAGATCTGTGGGAAACACTGTCTATATATGTACATTGCATAAGTGTACACTGTACATATATTTACTGTTAAAAAAACTGAGCACATAGTGTATGTTTGTAGTTCCAGGTGAACATTCCATACTCAAAAACATGTACGTACATAGCCTATACTGTGCACTTTTTGCACAAATATGTTGTATACACACTTGCATATACATATTCACGTGTCTATTCATGAGTGCACTCATAGTTGTATACTGGCACACACAAATCCCTGAACACATTACATTTTATTTTCTCTCCTGACCAATTCTATGTAGTTGACTGAATGGAACATCCAAATATGTCAGAGTGAGTGAGGCAAACACAGGCAATAAGGCAGATGTGTCGCAAGACTGCCAGTGCCAAATCTGTCATAGGAACCGTATTGCCAAGAGGCAAGGAGAGCTCACCCATGAAATTGTTCATAATGTGTCCATAATTGCCATTTGCCATAGTATTGACTGTGACAATGTGGCAGTCATCTATAAAGACGGCATCTTGTATTGATCAGCAGTGCTGGGAAGATGAGCCATGCTCTCTTCCAGTGAGGTGATGTGCATTCTGGGTAGACATTGTGCGGCGCAGATGGGTTTGAAATTACAGTAGATATTAAATGACTGCGGTACATTTTGATAGCAGGTGCTGGGACCTTGGGATGCTTATCCAAATGTAGACTTTAACATGGTTGTTTGTTAGTGCCACAATGCTAAAGAGGCTCACTGAGGGGACACTTCTGTCGATACTGAAGAATGTTGTAGTGCACTGCTCCCCAGAGAAGGACGGATGAATAGGCCTCTCTGACCAAGTCATTATTAGTGCAGCTTTCATTGCATCCTGCTCTTTGGATCAGCTTTACCTGGACTTTCCTATTGCCCAGGCCTGCTAATTTTGATGGAAACTTCTGAAGCAATGGAGATGAGACTCAGAGAGACATGCGGAGAGCAGGAACTTTGATGGCAAACACTGACGGTTTATTTGGAGCTTCGGCTGGAGAATTCACAAGACATGTGCTGTGCCACGAGTTGACACAACGGATGCCAAACCAATTCTGAAGGTCTCTACCCCAGACCCATGTATTTAGCTGGTTCTGAGAGAATAATCAACATTGTGCATACCAAGATAAAGCACTATAACACCTATATCAGCTGATGCCAACTGGCAGGAATAGGGAGACAAAACACTGAGAGCACAGCAGCCCAAGGCTGCAGGCCTGTGCTCAGCAAGGTCAATACAAACTGATAAACTGGTTAAAAGTTATGGGCCCAGGAAAATATTTCCCCAACACTAATGATTACATTTCCATCCATTGGCACCTTGAAAGTGGGTTTTTAATTTACAGTAATCGGTAGTTATAATAAAAACAGGAATAATGTAGGGCCTTTCATTCAGTCATTGTCAGTTGAGGAAAAAATTAAGTAACACAGAGTGTTAGGAAGGATGACTGATGTTTTCACTAAGCAGAAAAGCACTAAGAGCCACTGGGAACACGAGGGAACAAAATGCATTAATGACAGATAGCCCTTTGAGTACGCTTCCACATGGACATATGAATATAAAAAGCTTACACATTACAATTTCCCTGCCTCTGTGCTCCCATATAATAGCTTTTCTTTTCATTGTGGTAATTAGTTTTTCTCCTTCATTACTGCTGTTGTAAACAATGAAGCTGATGAGCACATCACCTTTCTGAGAGGTTGAGCTTTTTTTAACTTAAAGAATGAAACTGCACTACAGAGAGTGAGGTCTCTGAAAGCTGCAACAGACACCATTTATTAAATTCCTCCCACAAGTACATGACATATTAAATATCAGTTTAGAAATAATAACAAGCTATTTTTTCTTTTTCAGAAAAAGAAAGATAAAAAATGTGAGATTAAATTAATCAATGAGTTTTTGCTCTAATGCAAGCCAGAAAGATTAGCATACCTGGCTAAGTGAGAACTCCTTTCAAAGCTACAGTCTAAGAAATTAACTAAATACATAATTAGTAGGATTTCAAGTTGTTTAGAAAGAGTTTATAGTTTAAGATGACTCTGTAATGGATGTGTTGAAACGTCAAACTCTGCTGGGACATCCCCATCAAAAATATTTTAAAAATGTAATGGAGGAGAGAAGAAGAAACAAGTGATGGAGGTCACACAAAGGAAAGGGGACAATGAGCGGACTGACTGGCTATCACTCAGTGTAGCATGGATTGTAAAATAAAGCTGGTAGTCAGAGCTAACCAGCCATGAGAACCTACCGTCAGGCTGGGTTTCTCCGCAGAATGGATTGGGAGTCTGATGGAGCTTTGACAGCTACTAGGAGCACAAATGGTCCCTTGAGACTGTGTGGGTACCTGTGTTGTAGCTGGGCTAGCAGTTCTATAAGCAGTATGGGATGCCAATACCCCTTATTAGCCAAATGACCAAAACGCATCCCCCTTGATAACCTACCAGCCCCACTCTCCATCCACTCGTAGCATGGAGAGTGCAAGGGCAGAGGGGATGTTTAGTTAGTCGAGTCTGCCTGACTCATTGATCCGTTATCTGGCAAGTAAGAATGTATGGCTCCGACCATAGCTCTTTCAATATCAGCAGTCCAGCTGTGCTGTGTATTGATAAATCCATGAAGCTGTCCGTGGTGCTGAAGGAGCAGACGGATTTGTAAATACATTTTCTTGTCCTTCTGTACGTTTTGTTTTGGATTGAAAATATTCTCTAATCTAAACGATATACTACAATTACTCATTCTAATATATAGCTGCCTGAAGGATTCCTATAACATTTCTATGATCTTTCAGTAGCGTCTCTGCTGTTAAAAATGCACCTTCGACCGAGCCACCTTGATAACAAAACATTTTAGGTGAAACACTACTTTTATTTCCTCTTAATATTTATAAGTATAAGTGAACATGTACTTGGCAATAAACCTTATTCGAATACTTAATATCTTGTCAGGCTCTACGTTAAACAGTAAAACGAGGGCCTATGAGTTGTGTAATTATAACACGTTTATTTACCACAAGGTTTTTAGTCCTTGCAAATAATATGTGTAGTGCCATTACAATAATATATTTTAAGTCATACCTTTCTCATCAGTACATATTAATTTTAAAGTTAAATAATTCAAACTATTTTCATACCAATCACCATATTATGTATAAATACTGTACATAGCACTTGTATTGGAAACTGGTTCATGTTAGCACACAGGGTTTGTCTTCATAACACGTTGTGAGGTCTAGTCTCCTTTAATATTTCATTTGGATTACACTAGTGGTGAGAGTAGGTTTTCACACAAGGGGAAATTAACCAATCTCTCCTCTCCTCCCCTCTCTCTCGTGTCCTCCTTTCTTTTCAGCTCGCTCCATGTAGATTGGCTTTTACTTTGGCCAAGGCTACGCAGAGTGCCAACCAACTCAGTGAGAGCTGGCAGGGAATATGAATACACTCAGGGGTCCCATTGACAAGTCTCTTTACTTATCATTGGGCAAGCAGGACAGAGAGGGAGCAAGAGGCTCTTGACCCTGATGATTTGAGTCCGTTTCCAGCCCAACTCAATAACCATCTTTCAGGCAACTGTTGTGTTGGCGCTGGTGCAGAGGATGACATCATCAGAAGGTGACAGACAAGGTCTTCATAGACAGATGGTCGTTAGATCTAATAATGAGTATCTGCAGGTTCCAGCCCAGACAAATGCATGCTCCCCTAGTGGGCAATAATCATTATCAGTCAAGGATGCCTTTATCGACATCGGGGGAATCCATCAACAGACACCCTCAATCGCACCAAAGCTCTTTAGTGATGCAGTTCACCAAAAAATGTTCTCCTTCAAGCAATGTTGGAAGGGTAATAATACTTCTCAAAGCCCTGTACTCTGGGAATATGTATATTGTCCTAGCGACTCAAAGAGCAAATCATTTCATGCTAATGTTCAGAAAGAAGTATCTTCT